TTTGGTTTTTAAAACAGCATTATTTACTGTTATTATTATTATTAAATCGGCGCCTTCTACTGCAACTCAAAGTAAAATTGCATGCATTTTCGGTGAGGGACCTGGGAAACTGCCGAGTGGTATGGTAGTGGCAAAAAAAGAAAAAAAAGTTAATGCCCTTCTGGCTCCAAACAGACAATTATGTTGTAGACCTACTTGTACATGGATTTTAGATACAGCATCTTATATACAGCATACATGTACAGGGATCCATGCTTACTTTTTTTCCTCGGGTGAGGATTTTACCAAATTAAGGTCGTTATGCATGGGCCTCATGTTATTATTTTGCAATTTAGAGGGTCTGTACAGGTGTAGTTGAATTTTTCGGGGGCCATTTGCATCACCTGGGTAGAGAGTAGCGAATACTGTTTAATGTCTTCCCAAAGTACAGTATGTCCATACCACAGGTAGGAGTTGAATCTTTAACCATTCCATCTAGAGTTCGTGTGTGGACTTATTCTCCAAACCCTGACACCTCGGCATTGTTTTCCTGTGATTATTGCTCATACAAATAAATACAATCCAGTGAAAAAAATACACGGGGGCTCTGGGCGTATTAGCCCCCGAAATACCAAAAAGAGCCCCCAAAAATTTGCATAGTGTTCATGGCAAAACAAATTAAAGAGTGTTATTTTCATGCAAACAAGGTTGAAAAGTTGCCCCCGAAATTGTTTTAATAATTTTTCCCCGATACAATCTCACTCTCGCCTCTCTGCACCAAGTATGTGATGGCCCACATGTGCGCCTGTATCAATCTTCTAAAGCATAGGACACAATCCTGGTTGGAGGTACGGTATTGTCCGCGACATGATCTCATCAGGCTGTTTGTCTGTGAGGGGAGATTCCAGGCATTCCCTTCTGTGTATGTACCTTGGCCCTGAGGAAAAATGAGAGCATCAAAGACCATGGGTGGGTTCACACGCACACATACACACATGTCCAGTGGTTTATGCACTTGCCACTCATTCAAGAGGAATAGAGGATAAGGGTCCAAATCTCTGGTGGTGCATGCGTCTTTAGACGAGGCATTCAATTGGCCATGAGGAAAATGAGAGCATCGATCAAAGACCATGGGTGGGTTTACACGCACACGTATCCAGTGGTTCATGCTCTTGACACCCATTCAAGAGGATAAGGGTTCAAATCTCTGCCGGTGCAGTGTCCTTTATAGACGAGGCATTAGGTTTTCCCAGTTACAGTACGTTGTCTCTTTTTTGCTCCAAATATGAAATTGGTACTCGGCAGCATTTTGAAATGCCCTTTGCGCCAATAATCGCTGCCAGTGCTAAAAATTGTATTAGTGGATAGTAATAATATTCATACCACTGTGGATGGTATGATGTGATATGCACCATAGCAAGAGAAACATGATTATTAATCAATTTTGATTGCCAATAATAATATGACCCCTGGTTTGCTAGTTCACACAAGTAATGATGACAAAAAGAAGGCTATTTTCATCTGAGAATGAAGCGTGAAGTTGCAGTGTAATTCCTCAGTTGTAACAGCATGAATCGATTTATTGCATGCAGTTTATCAAATAGGGTGAAAATATTGGGTCAAGGTCATGAAAATATATTCTCAAGCCTCATGTACACTAGGCTGTAGCTGGCGTAGGCCCTACATGTACATGATGGTTTTTGTATAACAACAATTTAGAAATACAACCAATGTAGTGTTTGATAGCCATTGAGCATATTGTGTTTAAATTCTGAGGTGTTTTCAAAATGTGTTTTTGAAGCTAGAGTACTCTGAACTCTCATTCATTATTTATCTTGTGTATTCCATTTCATGTTGATGAAAAGGTAGACATTGCGCATCATTCGTCTAGTATCGGCTGGCTGTCTGTCTGGTACTAGTTTCCATTACACCTCAAAACAGCACAGTTTACAAACCATTGCCTGTGTGTTGCACTGCATCCAGTGGCGTAGCCATTGAAGGGCACTTGTATTATTGGGGGGGGGGGGGGGGGGGGGGGTGGGGGCAGCTCCAGTTGTAATCTGTCAATGAAAAGGGAATTAACAAGGCTATAGGGGGGGGGGGGGGTGCAAAGTAGATCCCAATATCCTCTTTTCTTGCCTTGGCATATTTCCTTCTCCTACTTTTTTTCTTCTCTCCTTTTCTCTCTTTCGTTTTTGCCACATGAAGGGGGGGGGTATCCCCTTTTGCTTCCATAGCTACACCAACGATTGCATCAGAAAGTACCACTACACATGTCTTTATGTTGATAGGCAGAGAGAAGGGAGATATGCTTGGAGTGATGAGAAGAGACAGGGAGAGAGAAACGGAGAGAGAGAGAGAAGCAGTAAGGGAAAAGAGCGGGAAGCAAGCTGAGAAGAAATATATCCAGAAAGGGGAGAAAGGAAGGTAGAAAGGGATAGACTAAAAAATTGGGAAAATGGACAGAGGGACAGAAGGACAGAAGGCGATTAAGAACAAAAAGAGATCAGAGAAGAAAGAGAGATCATACAGAACAAGATTGTGAGACATGGATGAGAGAAAAAAAGAAACAAATAGAGGAAGACAAAAGATAGGAGGAAGAAGAGGGTTGAGGGAAGAAAGATGTAAAAGAAGAACAAAAAAGAGTTCACACACAAGAAAAGGAGAAGGAAGAGGAGGTTTGAAAGAGATGTTCAAGAAAGTAAGAAAGTTGGTGAGAGAGTGAAAGATGGGGAGGGGGAAAGAGAGGGAAGAGAGGAAGAGATGAAAGAAAGAGAGAGGGGGGAGAGGGGGGGGGGGGGAGGAAAAGAGCGGTCCTTCCTTTGAGACGAGCAGAGATGAGAGAATAGTCTTGGAGGAATGAAGTCAAGTACAAACTGCTGATGAGGGGAGGAAGGCGCGACTCAAGAACAGATGCCTTGAATTCTTCTATTATGTCGTCATGTTTGTGTATGTGCCGCCTGTTTCCCTGACTGCTAATGTCTTTAGCAGTGAAGGCACCGGTAGAGCAATGGATGGGGATCGATGAACGGGAAGGGGAGTTGCCCTCGTCTTTTCACCCTCCCAATGCAAACCAAACCTGTAAAACTATCTGTTTTCAATTGACATTCAAGATTAGTGGAGATAGTGGTGGTCCCGAATGGTTTTGATTTAATAACATTTGTTTTATATACATGTATGACTTAATTTCAGCTAATATTTTCAGAACAAGCTTCTTCTCTCATAGGTTTTGGCCGCCTCTTTTAAAAGAGAATGAATAGATAAACTTGATTACAGACCCTTCCCCCATTTAACCTTAAGTTAACAGTCCCATTTACTATTACATGTAGATGTTAAACTGCTTTAAAACCTTAAATCTGCTGACAAGAAATGTTGAAGTCAAGAAACTTTCACGAATCACACAAGTTCATGTTGTGATTCAATTATCGTACAGCATGCAGCTTCTCATTTTTTTCTGACACTTGCAAAAGGTGCTGGTTTCTAAAGCAATTTTGTTTATTATTATTTGCCTTCAGCTATAAAGCAAGTTGCATGGTAATCTTAAAGCCCCTCTAAAGTGTTGGGAGCCCAAAATTTGAAGGCAAAATTTTACCTAAATTGTATCATAACGTGAAAGAGGATGTCATTTAAGATACACTTCTGCAAAGATTTCCCCCAAAAAAATTGTGTTTGAAGAAAAATATTGATAAAAGAATAAATAGTTTGGGTTTTCTGTTGTATGCAGAAAACCAAAATGTTGTATTATTTCATCAATATTCGACTTCAAACACATTTATTATGAAAATCCTTGCCGAATTATGTCTTAATTGACATCCTCTTTCAAATTATAATACAATTTAAGTGAAACTTTGCCATCAAATTGTTGGGGCTCCCAACACTTTGAAGGGGCTTTAATCATTTGGCATGCTTCGTGTTAGTAGAAACCTGGAGGTGACGAAGGGGCAGCCCTCTATGCAAAGGAATTATGATTGGACTGATGATATGTGCAACCTAAATTTCATTGAATCACATTGGGCAGTAGTAGGGGTTACAATGTGACACACATTTAGGATGTTGGGTGTGTGGATTGCCATTTGGTCTACAACCAGTTTCTCTACGACCCAATTGGTCTATTCCCTTAATATGGTCTACACCCAGCTCGTCTAGTCGTCTACTACCCATTTGGTCTATTCCTCATTTAGTCTAAATTCGAGTCGGTCTAATTCCCAGTTTGTCTGATGCTTATTTCGTCTACTATCCATAAGATGTAATAATCATTTAATGATTATTATTATTAATGATTAAATGATTATTATACCATGTGGGTAGCAGATAGGCTGGGTGCAGACCATATGGAAATAGATCAATTGGGTAGTAGACGAACTGGTTGTAGACCAAACAAGCAATTCACCTTGGGTGTAGTATGTAGACATGGACATGACATTGTATGAAATTTATTGCATGAACTGCATGCCTGCTGCGACCAAAAGTGTCCTACTATTTCAAAATGTTTGTTTGTTGGGGAGGAGGAGGGGTGGGAGGGGGGGGGGCGTGGGCATGGATCTGAACATTTTGACACCCCATTTCACTTTTAGCGTTATTTCTAAACTCTGTTGAGTTTTCCATATTTATGTATGTGTGTATGGCAGAACTTGGCAAGGTTTGACGTTTCCCTCCCTTTTCACTTGGTTTAGAAGTTAAGATGAATTTCCTCCTCTAACCCTTAATAAACAATTTGAATACATCTTTGATGATAGACTAAAAATGGAACCATTATAAAATCATTTAGAATATTTGTGTTAATTGCCCAAATCTTTTTCTCAATTAGAATCAGTAAAATATATCCTATTTATTTGCAAATGATGAATTACAACATGATTCTCCTGTTTTCTAAAATTCAAAATGCAGCATGTTAGGGCAAAGGTTCTTAATCTGAAAGAAAAGTTTCTTAGTTTGAACTTTGAAAGAAGATTAAATGACACAACTGTATCTGAAAAGTCAAAAGTCATCTCTCCATCTCTCTTTGTCTCTTTCTCCTGCAGCAGTACGTCCAGCACCTCCCCTCTATCGACCGACGCCCCCGCCCCTCACCCCTCCCCCGCCTCCCAGGCATCTCAGGCGAACTTTGAGCTGGACCATGAAGCCATCGCGTCCAGGGCGACTCACATGGTGGAGATCTTATCGGACGAGAACAGCGTCCTCAGACAAGAGCTCGAGACCAACTACCAAAAAGTTGCCAAGTTGCTAAAGGTTTGTCCCCCAGAACTTCTTTTAACGACCCCAATGTGCAATTGATTAGACAAGCTGCATAGGCCTGTCTTCATCAGCTCAAGATTACCAAATTGCCCGCTATTTCTGATTTGGGAAATAGTCCCGAAGTTACAAATCGCGTCTTCATCAGCTCGAGACTTGACCTCAAAACTTGAAACTTGAAGCTCGAGCTTGACAAATTTTGCTCAGCGTTCGTGCATAGTGTGAGTCTTCGGGCTGGTGAAGACGCACTGATCAAATAGCGGGATATTTTGCAAACTAGCCGAAGATATCTTGGGATGATTATCTCGACCAAATATCCCGCTAAATACAACTTCGAACTGATGACGCAAATTAACTGGACAATTTGCGATCGGGGTAGTTCAAATAGCGGGATATTTGGCAATCTCGAGCTGATGAAGAGAGGCCTCCTGAGTACTTTTTTTAACGACCATAAAGTTCAATTGATTAGACAAGCTACAATGTCAAATGTGTAGGATGACAAATGCATCAGGGCCCTGTTTCATCAAAACTTGTTGTCAATGACAAGTTTCAATTACTGTTATAAGCTACTGAAATCCTGGCATTTGATTGGCTGAGAGCAAATTTTTCTTACAGTTTTTGAATTTGTTAGATTTATAAAAACTGGTCCCAGAAACATTTCTGCATTACTATTCATTACAATGATATGGTTATGAAACAACCGAGTCCAAAGGCAAATACTGGAGACCTAGGCTAATAAGAGAGAGTTGCCAAGAAGATTCATCCATGAGTCAATTTTCTGGCCATAATGTGCAATAGGCTAGAACAGCTACTAGTGAGGTTCACATGGCAGTCTGTTAACTTAAAGTTTAGGTCATAGCTTTAAACGTCAAAGCTATTCTGTAGTCGGGGACTGTGCAGATGCCTTGAAGTTACAAACCAAGAGCAATCTTAAAGTTAGCGCGATAACTATGAGCAGTGGGGAATCCTTGCTCAAAGTTCGTAAAAATCACTGCTTGTCCGGCTTGTAGTTTAAAACTTTGAAAACTTGTTGTTTCAGTCCCGTGCGAACCCTCATAACTTTGACGTTTCTCAAATGTAAAGTTTAAAACTACAATGATTTCATGTAAACATAGCTAGTTAGTGACTGTATCAACCATGCAGGAAATATGCTCATGTCAAGGACAATTACAGAAAGAAAGTTGACAAATACAGAAATTTGCAAAATTTTAGAAGATTTGTCTCCCTTGAGTCAGTTTTATGGCAGTAATGTGCATTAGATTTATAGTCTATTCTAAACCATAAAGTGTGCTGAAATTATGCTGATTGTCAAGGATGAATTGTAAACAGCATTTCTGCCCACTGTTGTTTTCATTGCAAATCAGTTCTGTGAGATTTGGAAAAGCAGAATGGGGTTTGACATTAATTGCTCAATTGCTTGATGAAATTAATCTAGGTGAAATCAGTGGTGGTGATGGTAGTCGTTATTAAAAACCCTGAGTTCACCTGTTGTCAAGATCTAGGCCCTACTCACATGGAAAGAAAATGCATTTTCAAGTGTAGATATATACATCTATGTATTAACTGAATTCGCCACCTCTATTTACATGTACTAGTATTTACAATCTATTTCATGTTTAAGGAAGTGACGGGTAGTTCAAGGGGCAATGGAAAACCATGTGATTCAGAGCCTATCCATGAGAACTTGATTTGATAATTGTTAATTTATTTTAAAAAAAATCCTATTTCATACTTCACTTTAGAACAAAAATAAAAAGTGCAGTTGCTAAGAATAGTTAGCTTTTCAGTTTCTAATATTCAAAGATATATGACCGAGTGCCTTTTGGGGAGGTTTGTCAAGAATTGACATTCAAAAGGTTGGCTTGACACTGGTCTTACCAGCTTTCCAAGGATTCATTTCTGGTAGCAAGGCATTCATTAACGCTCTTTACCCAGGAAAAGGAAATGGTAGACAGATAACATTTTCTTACTCCTATGAGCTTCCGAGGCATTGAAAGATTAGTAGACAGTAATTATATAATATTGACTGGCCTTGAGGGGTATATCAGATATATTGACCAAGCTCAGATCATATTGCCCCGAGTCGAAAGACGAGGGCAATATGGTCTTAGCGCGGTCAATATTTCTGATATCCCCCGAAAGTAAAGCCAGTCAATATTTTTATTGTTATCCAAATCAGACATCTAGAGCAAATACAGAAATCCACCATGACAATCTCAAGAACTGAACAAACTTTGTCAAGCCAGCACTGTGCATCCAGTGCTTGACAAAATTTTGGATACACTACAAACAGTGTGCATTTGGTGTGATTATTACGTCACAATAGAGTGCGCGCAAAGTGCGTAGGTTCTCGTACGCATAATAGATGCGCAATGAAAATGAAACAATACGGCGCGGTCAATAAGAGATGCCTGGATGCGAGACCGTGGAAAATACCAAGGTATATTTTCACTCGTCTCTACACGTCAAAGTCAATACGCGCAGGGAGACCAAGGAAAATACAAAGAATATACCCCTCCGTTCCCACTGCTAGTGAAAACTAGGGCAATACGGTTTTGTAAATGACCAGCTCAGATGTCTGATACGGGTAATAATGAATATTATTATGTCCAAGTTGTATAATATTATTTGACTGGAAATTGAGTTAAAGAAATCATCATTGTTGAATTATTCCCATGTGCATTTATTAGGAAATTAGTAAGTAAATTGGTCTTATGATTATATTTCCTTGTGCAGTTTGAGCAAGAGATCCATAAGGTACAGACGGAGCATGAGAAGCTAATTGAATCAACGCACAAGAGGGAGCACCTCGAGAAGCTCGTCCGGGCCAAACTTGAAGTAGAAGTCAAGAAACTACAGGAGAGGAATCGAGATTTAACAGGTAATGGACTCTCCTCCCCCCCCCCCCCCCCCCCCACTCCGGGGTCGGAGGGACTGCATGAGTGTTCCCAAAATGTCTGGTAAAGGGGTACTTTTCACGCACCAAAGTCCGGCTCGTAGTACACAAAATCTGGCCCGTATTGACTTTACACCGGACTTAGGGGGGTGTTTTCAAAAGGAGGGAACATGCATACGCGTAACTTAAATAACACTGAGTGGGGGGGGGGGGGGGGTGCGGGTGGACTCTCTTCACTTCTCTGACGTTGATATTAAAGAAACAGGACAGGGAAAATGATCTGTAAAGCACCAGGAGTGTCAAGTTTTACAGACATGAGCGCGATATACAAGAACCCACTATTGTTATTATGCTTACCGGTATTATTATGAGATGGTTGGGCAAGAGTGATTTCATGAAGATTATGATATATCCAGTAAAAATTTGATATTGACAGAATTATTAATTTCACTCCGTTGATGGAATGTGTAGTAAGCTGCAAGACCTAATGCCCATTATTATTATTAACCAAAGTTTACTGCACCCAAAGAATACTACTTTTTGGAGTGCATGAGAATGATCAAACAGTTTTGTAAAATTTCTGGGGATCTGTGTGAGCAACACTTTGTTTACCGATAAATGAAGGGAAATTGGTGTGCTGACAAGCACTTAGTTTGACATTTTGTTATCAAAGTGTAAAGTTTAACTGATAACACTTACATGTACACGTATGTATGTACATGCAGGTCAAGGAGCTTCAGGAGGAGTAGGCCTATGCACATTGACACACAACTAAGATTGACAAACATTAGTGACAAGCCAGTACTCGAGTAGATACAAACATGATGTATAGTATTGAAATGTAGCGCAGGTGCTAATACTAATAGATAGATATTGATCCTTTTTTCGATCTATTCCACTAAGACAAATCGAGATTGCAATTGAAATTAACCATTTATTGTCCATTGTTTTTCATTGGTTAACGTTTACAGATCAGTTTACGAAAAGAAATAAACATAATCATAGAAAATTACAGTGATGGTAAAATACAGTCACAACAGCTTTAGTGGAGTAAATTGGATTAATAATGATTGTTCTTCACTCTTTACATTTAATTTAAAAAATTAAAAAACCATGTTATGTGTGCATGAGCTCAGATTCCATTCCACCCCCTTGTCATCCCTCCATTACCACCAGATAAAGTCAGTGGTATTTACGGAGCATGTTTTATGAATTTGGGACTGACCCCGGTCTCGCAAGGTCAGACACGCGTCTTTCAACACCGTCCCAACTTCTTGAGCCAATCTCTCGGGCACCCCAGCTTGATGGGAAACTAACTATGTACTGGGAAAATACTTGGCATTCCCTAAATTCCCTGAATGCCGTTGTTTGTCTGGGTATCTGCCTGGCCAGGATGGGTACACTACCAAGTTTGTTGACCTCTAGGGACGAACAACAATCCATGGTGATGGTTATAATGAGGAACGAACCCATGTCGGTCATAAAACATACTACTAAACTTGAAAGCTTATTTATTTTTTATTTATTTATTTATTAGTCTTTTTTTAGTAGGGTGGCTCCATCAGTAGTTCAATACTGTTTTCCGTGGAAGCTTCACTTTAATATATAAAATGTTCCTGCATGTTTATGAGTAGTTCAGATTCGCGACATATATATATGTATATGAAAGTTTCATGCCACAAAACTATTGAGTCACATTTGACACAACTTTAAATTTTTGGAGGTCACTAAAGTTTCTTGCTATGTCAGAGGCTGTTGGTAACAATTTGCGAAAGTTTGAAGTTTTTTACAGTATCATGGGGTCTTCAATGTAAGACTATGAAGCGCTGTTGAGGGGTGTTAGGCCTGACTGAAGGTTTTATGGAAATATGTTTATGTGTCAGAATAGAGTCTGTTTGTACAGTAAAAGTGATGATGGGGATAATAAGAAGGGGAGGTGGGAGGTTAAAATTCCTAATAGATTGAGGTTTATAGGTTTGTATTTTTTAAGTTCAGTGTTGGGGTGCACATCCCCAATCAGTTATATTAAAATGAGAGACTTGAGGGTCACAGTGATTAAGTTTGCTTGTACCAGGCACAGGTGATGCCGAATACTTAATAACGATAATAATAATATTCATAATAATTATATCAAATGTCCGTATTCAGTCTATGTAGAATCACGTGCCAAGAGTTCCAGGACAGCCAATCATGGGGAATCTATCGAGGCTGACCTGCAAGAGGAATTAACGAGAAAAGAAAACGTGCTCTTCCAGACACAAATGACATGTAAGTATTCATCTCACAAGTAACTTGTCTATTTTTGCTTTTAACTCTTTCAGGACAGGATTTATGTTTAGCGCTAAATAGATCAGATGTCGTTCTTCAAATTGGCAACAATTGTGTTTTTCTTTTATTGCTACATTGATCAAATAATATGCAATATCTCTGTAAGCAATATACATGGGCAAAAATGTTGTCAATAAGTTGAAATAAATGCCAGTATTTTACTTCTGACCATGAGAAAAAAGTTAGAGTAGGGTTCTGTGTTTACAGTTATCAACTGAATTATTCATACCCTTATCAAGTTTGTTATTTGTCACTTAATATTTGAAAAAAAGATTTGTTCTGATTTATGTTCCTTGAGAATGTGACATATTAAAGCTTACATTTAAAAAGTATTCACCCAGTCCACCTTTTATTCCTGAGTTACAAAAAAACACAAACAACAACAAATTTACATGGGGTATGGATAGTTTAGTTGTTAGTTGCCTGTGTTTCTTTAAAAATTTGCCATTTCTGACTGTTAACAAGATAGCTTTCTGAGTAAAGAAGTGTAGCTGGAAATAAGAAGGAAAAAAAGAAATTATTATGATTATTTGAAGCCCATTCAGAATGTCTTAGAGCCTTCTCTAGAGATTCTGTACAGTACAATTTGTAACCATCTGGAAGAAAGAATTCTCCATCAATACCCCAGTGGCTATAAATGACTGTCAATAATTTATTTGATAAACAGGTAAAGACTTGGATGAGACTAATATGCAGTTGATGAATGAACTCACAGAACAGAGACTACACGTGGACATGCTGGATGCAGCCTTGTCCAAGGCTCAAGCAGATGTTACTAAGTTACATGAAGAGGTATGTTATAAACAAACTTAAGCACTTAATTAAGTTTAATTGAGACAAAAATCTTTGGTGGACACTCCTCTATAGTCGTCCTATTTTGTGTCCCTTTAGCAAGGAAATGTGTGTAGTCAAATCTGTATAAGAAGGCCACCTGTAAACAGTGGCCACCTTTTTCTCCAGTTATCTTAATATGGCTTTAATATGGCAATAAGTAGTTTGATATTCATGTGTAGCAATTTTGATAGTAATGGTTAAACGTACAGTTGATGTCAACTCTTCTGAGGCAATTTGGAAAAGATGACATTCCCAAATCTTGCTGAATACTACAAAGACTAAAAAGCACTGTTTGTTAACTAAAACTTACTGTAAATTTTAACTAAGGAGTGACAAAATTACTTAAATGTGAATGCATTTGCACTGGCAATGCTGGAGTAATAATAATTACAGGGCTCTCAGAAAGATAAGTAATAATACTGATGAGGCTACCCTTAGGAAATAAGACATGTTATCATTTCATTATTGGTATGATTCTTATTGTTCTTAAAGCTTAACAATTGTATTTGTTTAGGATCTACCAATACCTTTGAAGGAAATGACTAGAAACTAGATTAAATTACTGTAAAAAATGACTTAACTATTTGAAATCAACTGTCCGGATACCCAACTCAGTCAAGTTAGCCTCTACTGCTGTGTAGTGTTTGCTTGCCTGTTTTGATTACTGTTAAATATTATATTTTAAAAATATGTTTGTGAATTATCTCTTTCCTGACCCCTCCTCCTCCCCTCCCAAGTGTGCCCAGCGTCAGGTTTACGTTGACAAGGTGAGATCGTTACAGCAGCTGGTTACATCATTGCAAGCTGCTCGTCAGAAGAGGGAGAAACTAGAGAATAAACTCAGACATAAGATGGAGAAAGAGATAGAGAAACTACGAGGGCGCCAGGTGAGTGAGTCACGCAATCTGGGCCCGCCTTTTAAAGAGTTGATGTTGATCGCAACTTATTTACGATTGATATCAATCGCAGCTATGTACATTAGAGCTAGGAGGCTACAAACTTACGATTGATTGGATGACTTGCGATTGATTTGGATCATTCGTAACTCTTTATAAGACGTGGTCCAGAGCTACTTCTACACAGAGTTTGGCCAACTTCGCCATATTGTGCCCAACTTGAACCGGGTTGACCGAACTCTCCTAATAAATGGCTCTGCTTACATTCAGAGCTTTAATTGATAAGGGTGGCAATCATGGGGGTGTTTCACAAAGATCCTAAGTCACACTTAACTCTAAGTTGGACTTAAACATGATGGAAAGCCATTTGTAGCCTCAAAATAAAATATATTTAAAAGGAAAAATTCAAGTATTTTAGACTTTTATAAATTCCACAACAAGAACATGAAATATCTCATTGATAATAAAAAAAAATATGAATGATTTGAATCAACATTTTATGCCTTTTAAAACAACTTTTACAACATATTTTCAAAGATGCTAACGGCTTCCCATATTTGTTAACTCCAACTTAGAGATAAGTTCAATTTAGGATCTTTGTGAAACACCCCCCAGGTTTCAGTTGGACACAATATTCAATTTAATTAAATGTGGTTTATTAGAAATACAAAGTAGTAGTCCATGCACTCATCGCACATTGTTTACAATCCAAAATTCGTCATAAAATGAGGTCATCAATTAATAAAAAAAGAAAAGTAATATTGACAATGTCATGTACATAATCTATACAAATCAAAATCACACTTTCATATAAAGCTTTAGAAACAAAAACATTAATCATTATACAAAATAGTCTTCTAAACCTGTTAGTAACTTTCTCTAATATGATAATAGTTATGCATTTGATGAATTTATATCTTTGGGGAAATTATTTTTATATTTTATTGCTAAATACCATAGAAAAATGCTCCTGCACAGAAGATATACAAAATTGTCACAGGTCTCTTATTTAGTTATTATATTATTCATTTTGTTGTTATATCCGTTTAGGCTGTAGCGAACCAAGATGAAGGTGTGTCAGAGCCTGAAGATGTTACAAGTGAATCGCTGGCTGAAAAAGAGAGTACTATCCTAAAACTAGAGGCTGAAGTTAGTAAGGTAAGATATATCATCCATACTCTTTCTATCTCTATTCTCTCACTTCTCTCTCTCTCTCCATTTCTATCTCTGCCTCATCTTCTCTCTCCTTCATATTATCTCTGGCTAAAAAAAGAAAATACTATTGTAAAACTTGAGGCTGAAGTCAGTAAAGTAATCACCCATACCCTCTCTCTCTCTATTCTGTCTCTTCCTGTTCCAATACCCTATCTTTGCCCCACTGTCATTTTTCTTTCTCCTTTTCTCTTTATTTTCCTTTACTTTTTTTTATATCTCATTCTAGTTTCTTCTTTCTCCTCTTTCTATCATTTAAGTTTTGTCTTATCTAATCTTTACGATGTTTGAAGTGACTTTGCATGCATATATTTTGTGTTGTTGTTGTTTATCTGTCTGTTCCCCCAACTTCCTCTCTTCCACCTATCTCTCCTGTACATTTCTCTTCATTTCACTGATTTCCTTCTCTTTCTATCGCTTCTCCATTGCTTCTCTATACATTCTCTCTTATTTCTTTGTGTACCAAATGACATCACAATGACCCTAAATCTCGACTTTTACTTCTAGTGGGAACACAAGTACTTGGAAGAGTGTGCAATCAGACAATGTCACGTGGAAGCACCATCAAACTCAAGGTTAGTCTCATGCATTGTATGACTAGAAAAAGATGGTTAATAATGGTAAGGATGCTGCTGCTGATCTCGATGAGGGTGATGATGATGTTGACGATGATGGTGATGGTGTTGTTGGTAGTGGTGATGATGATGATGTTTGTGGTGGTGGTGGTGGTGGTGGTGGTTTAAGTGATGATGATAAGGAAGATAAATTTGGTAGTGATAAAGATGGTGGTGATGACGATGGTAATAAAGGTGATGATGATGTTGATGACAAAGATAATGATCATGATAACCATAAGATGAAATAAAAATATTGATATTCATAGTTCAACATTTCTAGTGATCATGGCAATAGCCCTACTGTGTAGATTTTTCTCTACCCCCCCCCCCTCTTTTTCCCCTCTTTGAAACTAGACACTAATTTTCTCTATGCCCAGTTTGCTTACTCTACTAAAAGAAATTCGCCAAAATAAATTGTAAAAACAAACATCACAAGAAAACATTTAATACGTTTATCGCTTCTATCTCTAAGGAAAATTCAACAATTATCCATCATGATTCCTTCTGATGACAGGTTGAGTGGTGTACATGACATGGATGGCGGGAAGGAGAGAGATGAAGAAGGGAGCTCACGACATAAAGCTAGGATATACGATCTTGAGAAAAGGTAAGTTCATGCCCCCCCCCCCCTCTCCCTTGCCCTTGGCCATCCATAGGCATGTTTTCAGTTGTAATGTTCCTGATAGGAAAGGATATCAAATGGCGCATTCTGGTATGGTGTGCAATGTGATAAGGAGAGAGAGTGACAGAGAGAGGACAGAGGCAGAGACAGACACAGAGAGACAGACAGAGACGGAGACATACAGGCAGGCAGAGAGAGAGAGAGAGAGACAGACACAGACACAGACAGACACAGACACAGACAGGCAGGCAGAGAGAGAGAGAGACAGAGACAGAGAGAGAGAGAGAGGGAGAGTTGATAGGGATGATGAAGGGAGCTCAAGACATTAAGCAATGATATACGATCTTGGGAGAAAGTTAGTTCATGACCCCTTCTGCGGGCGATCAGGCTGTTGTTTTACTGAGGTTTGCCCCTTGTGATCCAGATTTGTTAAATGTTTATGTGTCATTGCTGAGTTAATAACAATTGCGCAACCTTTATGAAGAGAAGTATTTGTAGTTATTAGGCTACCCCGGGTAAATAAGACTATATCATTTTTGTTCTTGTTTTCGTTATTCTGGTTGATATTTGTATTATTATTACTATCATTATTGTTTTTTTTTAATAAAGGGATATAACTGTTATTTCTGGTAGTTTGTTATCTTGAAGGTTTTCATGGAAAGGATAGATTTGAGCAAGATTTGCGGTAACACCTCATGCAGGCATCTTTAAAAAACTATTGACCGGTAGGCGGGCATGGCTAAAATCACGACTCCAATTTCAACCAATCAGATTGCTAGATTTCTAAAGAGAGGTATAAATAGTACTAAAATGGACATATTTGCTTTTCCTTCAGAGTTTCAGCCCTTTCAACAGAGGTCCAGAAACGTGAAATCATCATCCAAGCTCTCCAGAACCAAATCTTTGCCACCATGTCGTCTACTTCGCTGTCCTCCTATCCCGAGAACATCCGCCCTCCCTCCCCTCAGCAGCAGTCCTACCGCCGTGGCTCCGTAGATTCCACCCCCTTCCAGAGCAACCTGTCTGGATCACCTGCAGTCAGCTCCAGCTCCCTGCAGAACCTCGGCAGCCGTTCTCCCGCCAGCTCCGTTCAGAGCCTACAACAGCAGCAGCAGCAGTCGCCTGCATCCTCAACCCACAGCCTCCAGCACTACCTGACAAAATCACCCGCAACGTCGACCCAGAACCTGCACATGTCTCCGGCGTCGTCCAACCAGAACCTGGTGTCCAAGTCTCCGGCGAGCTCCCTGCAGAACCTGCCGCATGTCGTGTCCCTTGGTGGGAGGTCTCCTGCAGGGTCGCAGCAGAGCTTAGGAGCCCTCGCAAGGCCACCGAGTCACACCGGGTCTGCAGGATCGGGTCTAGGGTCGCAGGAGAGGCTGATGGGTTTCAGTGATTCCTACACGTCACTCAGTACGTCGGGACTCTCAATGACAGGAACAGGTAATAATAATGATAATGATAATAATATAAAGCATTTGTTATGAGCCATCATTCTAGTAAACTATTCTGAGGCCCAGTCAGGGATCCTGATTATTACCTTGGCTTTAGCACGGCTGCCATTACGGCGCTCAAGGAATTAAATCCTGCCAGGTACCCATTTACATCACCTGGGTTGAGTGTGGCATATGTAGATCAATGTAAGAGGTGTTGTGGTATACGTTACTGGATTCTGGGTCAAATGGGTAACAGTTCAAGTCCTAGCCAGCCATGACACTTTGACAAGGACTTGGATTTCCTGTGCCACTCTCAACCAAGGTTCAGTGAATGCATACCAGAGCCCCGTTTCACAAAACTTGTCATCAGTGACAAATGACAGCCTTTGTTATAAGCTAGTGAAATCCTTGCTTCTGATTGGTTATCATCAGATTTGTCACTGATTTTTGTCATTTGTAATTGAAAAAGGCTCCGTGAAACAGGTCCCTGGTAGGAAGTTCACTAGGGAGGCTTGGCTAAAGAGGGGTTCATTATGAAGAAATTTGCTGTGCTAATAGTACTAGGGATCAAGTGCATAGTTTTTGCTTGTAAATGAAAAATAAGTCAGATCTCGTAGAGATGTTCCTACATAATTGTTTTGTTACCCTGCTCTCAATTTTCTTGGTTGATTTAGAGAATTATGCTTTTATATCCACCCATTGTAAAATTGTAAACTAGCATTAGACTTCAACTAGGGAGTAGTGTTAATACAGAATATATATTTAAAAGTACAGGTGTATAGAAGCAATGAAAACTGGGCAAAGTTATGTGAAACTTTTTTTAATTCGCTTTTGTCAACGTCTCATTAAAACCCCTTGTGTTTAAATGAGCAATTTTAATGGGATGTTTGGGAACTTGTACTGATGATAGTTGAGTGAAATGATGCCCTCTTATATTTTCATCCACGTCCATATTGTTAAATTATATCTTGTGTATTAACATAGAGTTAACTAAATTATTCATACCCTTACCAAGTTTTATAATTTATTAAGTATATGAAAATATTGATTTGCCCCGACTTGAAGATGTGATATATTAAAGGTAAAACAAAGTTTTGGTATGGGGTCATGAATTTGGTTCAAATGAACATATTGGAAGCATATGGGATTTTACATTATTCAATGACCGTTGTCGCGGTTGGAATCGAGTCTACAGTGATAAAATTGTAAATAATGAACTCTTTATGTTGTATAGCTCCCTCTCAAGATTGATATTACTTCAGCTTTAAAACAATGTTTCTTGACTATAATAAACAGATTTACTATTCCTGTTTGGAAATTATATATCAGAACTGCATATTCTGAGATTTTCATGGTCAGAGCACCGGTAAATAGGCCAGTTTCGGCGGTTACGTAATGCGCGGTTACTGTAACCAAGCCCGGCAAGCTTTGTCAAACCGCCATTTTGAATGTGTGCGTTGTGTATTAGACTGTCGGTTATTGCCGTTAAATTTCATTCATATCTTTCTATCAAAACTGCGTGTATATATATGAATTTCTGTTTTGGCCGGAAAAGTCTTCCAACTTGACATTCATCAAGCTGAGTTCAGGTAGCTGCAATATTTTCTTAGCAAAAGAGGAGTTTCGAGCACGGTATACACCCGAGAAAAGACTCGTTAAATTAGCGTCCGCAGTAGCGGACTAGCCTGCCCGTAGCCCCTGACCCGTGGGGCACGTGTCACTCGGTAGACGTGACTGTGTGGGGGGGAATTACAATGGGCAGGAGTTTCGTTAAGTGAACTAGCTACATACCTCCCTTAAGTTTTACGATATTCCTGACTTTGGGACCTATGACGTATTCAATTATCTAGTAGAGAATATATGGCGGACTATGCATTTATGATCGTCGAAAACTGAAGGCTTTTACGAGTTTTGAAGACATTCAATTAATATTTTCCGATGGCCATGTGGAGATGAAGCTCGACTCATGTGGTTCTAGACTACAGGCCAAACCGTCGCAAAAAGACAGAACATACCAACTTGAACAAAAAGAAGAACAAATTGTAAACAAAAAGTAATAGAAAATGTAATAACAAATTATTTTTAAAATGTTTTTTTTTATAATAATAATTGCTTCTTGAATAAAGAAAGGTCCGGCATAATTATAATACTATTAACTTTTTTATGATAATCAAACTTAATTCCTAATCTTATTTTAATCAATAAAATTATTCATCATCCCGATTCTGGCTTGCCATCATAATTTTTTTTTTTATATTACTTTCATTAGGGATCTATTCCTGTTTTCCATTGCTCTCATTATTTATCAATCTTTGCTTCACACCTTCTTCTTCCTTGTTCATTGTTTTTCTTCATTTTTTCTGTTCAAAATTATTTGTTTATCAATATTCAACGTTCTTATTCTAGTTCTCTGTCATCGGGCGACATTATTTTATAAATATTATTTTATTAATTATATAGTGCCATCATTAATACCTTTATTATCATTATTTCTCGTTACTTTTGTTAATAATATTGATTCTGTGGTCACTGTGCTTGCTTCTCATTAGCCGTTTCTCGTCCGCCTTGAAATAGTTCGTATCGAGGCGTTTCACAAACATGTTTTAATCCGTAAATTTATTTTTATTATGAAAATGTGATTCGCGCCTCCACGAACACGGACACGTGGTACGCACGCACGCACGATCTGCAAGTTTAGGTGACCTTGTGTGCGAACGAGTGGAAAAGAGTTAATCACTTCTTTCATTTCTACGTCAAAATTTGTACTCGGTTTCAAGCTAAGGTAAATGCAAAATTGAATGGGAATTGCCGATATCTGCTAACTGATATTTTGGTTCCTTTCTTTCTGTTTCATTACTCGCTTTCGAGCCAATGTCGCATGTATCATCTACCTCGTTTTTCTTCTTTTGAGGGGGTGTCGTGCGCTGCCTGTACCGGGGACTTGGCCGAACAGGTTTGACTGCAAGATGTGAATCGCTAGTTCTGTAACAGCAATGCTTTTCCATTATTCTTGCCTAAGCCTCAGCGATTTTAAAGATCAAATGTATGAAGAACAAAATCACATCTCAAAGCTATTTATTATTCAAGTTTGAATCTGCCTCCTTTTTCTTCTCTCTCTCTCAAAATAGCGAAAACAAACGATGCAATCACACCTAGCGAACACAGTCATGTATTGTATGCACACAAAGTGTAGGCTGCTACGCACTGCGAGTTCATTGTTTGTCCGACCCTCCGATTACGTAATGCGATTTAAAGGTCTCTGAATACATTACGAAACTGGCCTATTGTGATCATTCAATTTCTTGAAAGCAGAAGTGTTTTAGGGGGCTAAATTTTTTAGTGCTTATAAAACATCCACATGGGCATCGAAATATATCAACATTTTAAAGAATTACTATCCATCCAATTTTCAAAATTTCCCAAAACTTTGCATTACCGTAATTAACGGTGTATTAACCTTACCTTTTTGCCGCTGGAAAAAATTCAAAGTCGGTGGGTGCGATTTATACACGGTTTCGATTTATGCCCCTTTACCTGGCGCTATGCCTGACAATGTCTCCCAGCTCAGTAATCGGTGTGTTGACTCACCACTCGGAAACTAGAACAACACTCAAATTTGTCTGTCATCTTGGTTTGAAAGTAATCTTTCTGATAGATTTCAATATGTAGTTTATAATAATAATTCCTCCAATTTTTCTTCTATTACACGGCGTACCACAAGGTTCTATCCTAGGTCCTCTACTGTTTTTTAAGTCGGCAAAAAAAAAAGAGGGATGCGGTTAATACTCGAGGGCGGTTTATACAACGTTAATTACGGTATCTTTAAATCTTTCATCTAAAAGTATTCAACAAAAAAACATGTCAAATTTACAAGGTGTGTGAAGAATTTAGTTGTTAACTGTATGCCACTTTTTGTTTTTTGTTCAGATGGAGGGAGTGAAGCCGATTTAGCGAGAGAGAGAAGTTTCTTGGATGAAAAACTAAAGCAGCTGGATCTTGAGATTGCTCAACAGGTGTGTGTGAAAGTACGAGCAAATTCCAATTAAAAATAAGAAAGTTTTGAATTTTTGAAGTTGCGATCAATGAAACACAAATTAACAACTCGGTGACATATCTTGCGAGCCCCTCTCAAATTTGCTTTGTACATAATGTCATAAACTTTGATTTTCTTTTTTATTAATGATGTAATAGATTTTTTCGACAATGGAAATAGAAACATATTTGCGATGATTATATTTAGGGTGCTTGTATATGATTGAAAATTTCTTTGAGAGAAAACAAAAATTTCTGATTTTATTATAAGTACAGAGCGAACATTCTTCTGTTTTAGTAGTATTAATATCTTCTATGTTCAAATCTTTTTTCTTCATTTGCAGGATAAGATACTTGGATCGATATGGAAGACTTAGCAAAGATGGAGAGCTGTGCACCCTCCGTGCTCTACCGGTGTATAACATGATTACCCCTTACCTTCATCATTACCCTTAAGCAGAACTGGAGACGTGGTAGAGAGGGTCAGTTTTGTACCCTCCGTGCTCTACCGGTGTATAACATGATTACCCCTCACCTTCATCATTACCCTTAAGCAGAACTGGAGACGTGGTAGAGAGTGTCAGTTTTGTACCCTCCGTGCTCTACCGGTGTATAACATGATTACCCCTCACCTTCATCATTACCCTTAAGCAGAACTGGAGACGTGGTAGAGAGGGTCAGTTTTGTACTCTCCGCGCTCTACCGGGTATACAACCCCCCCCCCCCCCCTGCCCCACTATCATCAGCAACCTTAAGCAGAACTGGAGACATGTTAGAGAGGGTCAGTTTTGGTACTCTCTGTGCTCTACCGGTGTATACAACCTCACCCCCCCCCCCACCCTCATCATCATCATCACTCACCATCACCAAAGAAACGATGTTGAATTCAAGATGACTGGAATTATATATTTATGGGAGGATTACATCTTGTTTGATCCTTGCACCTTTTTGTTTAGTGATATTAAAGCCATGTAGTGTCATTGATGTACAATCGTTGGAGTTATTAATAAAAATTCTTAATGAAACACATCTTCATGTCAATACTGATGCTTCATGCCCCATTCAATTATCTAATGGATGATAAGATCTTGATTTTGACCCTTGAAAATGAATGTTTGGTTCAAGTTACAAGGTTCTTTGTACATGTATTTGTTTACATCGTAATGTAACGTGTTAGCGATCACTCTTAAACAAAGATTTCACTCTCTCTGTCGGTCATCTCGTATGAATTTTAGACAAAATACTGCTGACTCCACAGACCTTGATTTAGAATAGAAAGTATTTTAACTAAGGGTACTATGGGTCTTTTCCACCATGATAACCTCTAAAGATGGTTTCAGATATATTGCCTTAACTTATTGCCTATGGGAACTGTGTGCATCCTATGTTATAGATATGGGAATGAAAGAATTTGAATGCCGATGGATTTGTTTACTTGATCAAACATATTTCTTCCATACTTTATTAAACATGTGCCAGAGAAAATTCAATGTTGTGCCTTGCCAGACTATAGCCTTATTTGTGTAATCATGATTGTAGATAAAATCTACACTTTTGCCCCTAAATAATCCAAAACAATGTTGCAATGAATTTCTATTAACAATCATGGCAATCACGGTGCCTAAAATTCGACATCTTGACATTTTTAGTATTTAATTTAATTTATCTGAAATTTATAACCCTTTATTGTAGATTTAGCAATTTAAAATGGATGCCAGGATGGTATTTATAGCCATTTTGTGAAGAATTAGTCTGAAAGCAGCTGACTAGCGAATCATGAGCAAATTTGTCTGTTTACACTGGAACGTTAATAGACTGTTTCAAAAACCTCTGCAGCAAAATTAACAATTGTATAAGTGGTATCCTTCAATTTGATCTATCTTATAACAAGAGGTTAGCATAAGGACCACTGTTATGTGCAGTTTTGTTTCTTTATCCCCCAACTAATTCCTCTTGCCATTCATTCATGTGCAAAGTATTACTGCGTTGTCAAGTTAATATTCTTTCTTTCTTTTGAGGTGGTTCGCTCTAACTTGCTTGCCCAGAGGTTTAATAAAGATACTTCATTAATGCTGGTAAATGGATGCCAGGATGGTATTTATAGCCATTTTGTGAAGAATTAGTCTGAAAGCAGCTGACTAGCGAATCATGAGCAAATTTGTCTGTTTACACTGGAACGTTAATAGACTGTTTCAAAAACCTCTGCAGCAAAATTAACAATTGTATAAGTGGTATGCTTCAATTTGATCTATCTTATAACAAGAGGTTAGCATAAGGACCACTGTTATGTGCAGCTATGTTTTTTGTTTTGTTTCTTTATCCCCCAACTAATTCCTCTTGCCATTCATTCATGTGCAAAGTATTACTGCGTTGTCAAGTTAATATTCTTTCTTTCTTTTGAGGTGGTTCGCTCTAACTTGCTTGCCCAGAGGTTTAATAAAGATACTTCATTAATGCTGGTATGTAGCGATAATCAATTAAAGTACAAATATTGATGTTCATGGTGATATCAATGCAATTTACCTTTTTGACTGGAGGTTTCTAGCCTTAAAGGGTGTATTTAATGCAATAAATCCAACCATTGTTGGCTTTATTGTTATTTATTTATTGTTACTTATTGTTATTTTAGGACAAAATACGGTCTCATTTAAGTCCCAAACAGAATAGTGAGGAGAGGGTTGTCAATGTCATGTTAATGATTGTTATATATATGTGAGGGATCATGCAGAGTCTAGACGATAGTTACACTGTCAATAAGCCAGTTTACAGATACAATATGCGCATGGGCAGATATAGGTCATTTGTACCAAAATGGTAAAACCCACGGAGATGAATTACTGGATATGCGCTCGTGAAAGTTATGTAACATTATTCATTTATGCACCAACAGTACATTCTATGATACGCAGGTGGAAGTATACTTTTCAAGAGGTCAAACAAAAGGTATTCATGAAGCACATCTAGGACTGTGGCAGTTATTATTCTAAGATGCTCAAAGTGGAACTTCTCCATGTGTTAAAGATCGGTGGATATTTGGGGTCATTTGTACCATGTGCTATCTGTAAATTCTTATTGGTGAAGACATTTACTATGTATTCTACAATATTATAGCAATGTTTGCAACCTCTTGATTTACTACATCATTAGTTGACATGAACCCTCTGGCTCTCTGCAATTCATACAAGTTTAATTGTATGTGCAGTCAAACCTGTCTTAGTGGCCACCTCTCTATAGTGGTCACCGATATTGCCTCCCCGTAGAAGGAAATGTGTTGAAGAACCAGTCTAGAAAGATCACCTGTCTCCAGCGGCCACTATTTGTTTTTCCCTTGGGTGACCTTAATAAACAGGTTTGACTGTAATTAATCAAGAGGATGCATTGGTAACGAGTCTGATTTCTGTTTTCTTCAAATATGGGACTCTACTCCTTATTTTTGTTACAATTTAACTTGATAGAATTCCTAGTTATTGATCTGCTATTTTCACTCTGGTTGGTCTTGTATACCTTTATCTTCATATTTTCCATTATCTTTTTCACAGGCAGTGATCATATTGAAATGTGCTATTAACAAAGGTCTTCCTGTGTTTGTGTGAGCAAATCGGGAGAAATTAGTTTTACAGGGTTCATAAACTTGTATTATCAACAAAAGTGGCTGATAAGTTGAAAAAGAAAACAGTGACAACATATTAAACCATATGAAACACATTAAAGCATATGAAACAAAATTTGTGAAGACATTGTAGAATGTTCCTAATTTATACATATTACACTTTCCTTCCCTCCAACGATTGTTCAATTTGAATGAATTATTTGTTTTAATAATTTGTACAAATAACAGATAGCAAAACTAGTTGGCTAACTGCTAATTTATTCAACACCAACTATACATTTGAACTATCTTAAAGGCACACTGCCATACTTGTAGCTACTTGCTCCCTCTATATAGAAAACTTCCCCAATCGGTGCCTGTTGGTCCCCCATGATCCTCTTTTTCTTATGTTAAATGAGAGCTGAGTTAATGAGATAGCCACCTGTCACAGTGACCTCGATGGCTCTCTGTGTGGTCTAATCCCTTCTGGCCCAGTAGTGGTGACGGTCTTTAAAAAGAATGGTTTTGTGTATTTGTTCAGTAATGCCACTGTATGCCACTGAATATTAATTAAAGGGTAAATAATTTCTCTATCATCCACCCTTCAATTCAATATCACTAGTTTCTCTCTCTGAAATGATATAATGTGCAACAAATAAAAGAATAGATTTTGTACATGTGCATTATTATGGGCATTACTCAATAGGGTTATATCATATTGCATCACATCGCGCAATGAAAATACAATACTAAGGTGTTATTTTAGAATCAGTCTAATTAAAGATTTGTGTTGGTCTTGGTGCGATCATTTGTAGATAAAAAGAAAAGAATAATAATTAATCTGTTACTTGGGGTTCAGAGTCAGAGAGGAAAGGTATATACATTAGAATGTGTAAATGAAAGGATCTATTTTATATCTACCTTCATGTAATATACCGTAGTCACTTTGAGCACACTTCATACAACATTGTATTAATGAAATATTCAGAGAGACTTTCAACACAGGCCCAAGGGTAATTTCAACATCTTGTGGTATTGCCTGTTGAAATCGTTTTAGGATTATATACGTCATTTTACTGTTGGCACATTTCCAAAGTATACCGGTATGCACAAGTCTATTGGAAACGTTGTAGGTTGATTTTTTTGAAAGTCTCTGTGATTTCGTTGGATCTAAATTCACATGGATCTTTGCTTTAACCTTGCCATCCTGTACATGTGTATTTACTCCTATTTGCTGTACTTACAATTCTGTGCATTCTATGTAAAAACATGTTTATGCAAAGCACTGAATTTGGAAAATCTGCCATGTATATACTGTAAAGAGAACAAGAGTTTTTCTGTAAACAAAGGAAAAATAAAATATTCTGTAATTGTCTTTTCTCTTTATTGTATCAATTGTCCTTTACCTATCTGTCTCTCTCTCCCACTCTCTCTCTATCTCTCTCTCTCCTTTTCTAATGCTCTCTTTCTTTTCGATCAGATCTTCTACAAAGTATTTCTAGACTGTACCACATTATTCTGTTTGTACATACACAGGAGTGTTATATCGGCAAAATATGTTTACTTGTTTATAGAAAAGGCTGTTCAATAACGCAATGTTGAAATAAATTTCTTTTTGTAAAAAAAAAAAAAACCCTGTTGAAGTGTGTTTTTATTTTATGTGTTGTGTCGATGCAAACGCACGATCCCCGTTTCAGAAAAATAAAACGTTTGTTGCTCGTAGCATATAAAGGAAGAAAAGAGGGGGAAGAGGGTGGGGCGCCCATTTCCTTAGATTCTAATTGGCGTCCCCGGATCTTATTGTCCAACGATGGGTAGCTTCGGGGTACTATTTTACATAGCTAACATAGCTGAGACTGAACAAAAGAAAATTACTTGGGTGTCTTTTGTCTTGAAGAGCTCTCTGGTTGGTCCAAAGTTTTGGCCAATCATATCGGCTTGCTGTTACATAACTTTCACACCTTGGACTAGCTATAGAAAGTTAATTGGTCACCTATCAATGGCTCGGGGATGAGCTTTCTCATTGGTGAAAAGTCACATTGGCTGGCTCTTTCAGAAATGGTTTTGATTGTAACGTGGTATGAGTATTGTTACGTAACTTTTACACCTCCGCCCCCCCCCCCCCCCGAAATTTCGGGCCATGGAGTTATCCCCGGGAAAGAGCTTTGTCAACTGATGCAAAGTCTGGGCCATTGACAATGGATGGTTGTTCGTTGCAAACCCAGAGTTTTTCTTGGCTTTTGACCCCCTTTTAAACACTCTTTCTCAAAACTCCAATTCTTTTTTTTTCATATGTGTTGTAAATTAAAATCTTCTTTTTTAAAGATTTGAAAAAAAATCCAAAAAAAGTCTATAATTTTGGTCAGGTAACAAAATAAAGAGTTGCATGGTTGTAACACGAATTAGGATTACATAAATTCAATCATACATAAACATGTCATATAGAAGCAATCACTTAATAAACACCATTGTAAACATCGTGTTCTAAGATCAATCACATAATCTGAATAGGTAAAATAAGAAATGAAACTATTATGAGCGAATCAACGCTCATTGGATAAATCGTGGAAAGAAAGAGAACCAAGAAAGAGTTGTATCAGGAGCCCTTGTATTTTTTAAAACTGTTTTCTTTTTAAAAATTGCCTTTATTTCTAATTTCATATTTAAAGTAGTGTTACATCACGTTTTTATCATATACCACCCAGTGCATTTTATTTTACAACATTTTAAGTAAAACATATCAACTGGCTTATTATTGTATCAACACAATATTTGTCATATTTGTCTTTTTCTTTAACCGTTTACGAATCTGATGTTTTTTTCTTTCTGGCACCAGGTTACTAAAGAAAGTTACATGAAGTTAGTGCTAGGTCTAAATGAAATCTATGTCTAATTTCACATATATTAAATTTTAGATCAGTTAATGATCCCTTCTCACTTTTTCAATATTTTTATTTTGTCTACCATATTTATTCATGTATTTTTATTTGTCGTTTTATTTGACAGGGTAGCCCTTTCAGTTATAAAACCTGCTCGACCAAGGGGCCCTGTATCAACATTATCAAAAACCTATTTGCAAAACATATAAACATACATAAGTTATAATGAACACACAAATTAAACAAGATATAATGTTGAAATGAGCGGGGGGATATAATATTAATGTAATTATTAAGTAAATTTTATACTATGTGACAGAAAGGAGTTTGCAGTGTTTTAAAATGAATCCAGTGTTTAATGAACGTAAAGATGGGGGTAATGCATTCCATATAACGGAGCCTTGATAACAGAAGGATCTTTTGAAGTACTCGGTTCTGTGTTTTCAATGTATGGAGGACAGGTAGTTGCATATCTAATATGAACGTTTATCGTTCGATAGCACACGATATCCTTTATATATTTCGGCATTTTATTATTCATCACCTTATAAATCCATGTTCTAAATTTGGTATTGCACTCTCTCAACAACTGATTGCCGTCTT